CATCGCGTGTCTTCAGAGAACTTCAACCAAATAGTAGATCACTGTGACCAACTTTTGAAATTTTAGGGCTATATTTAAATATCTCATGTACTTATTTGCATTGAATCATCAAACTTTGTCATCTTAGGTCCTTGGTAATAGTCAACTAAAAAGTAGGTCACAGTGACCTACTTCGGAAGGTTTATGGCTATGTATACATAAATATTGGCTTAGAATTATCAAACTTTGTCAGTTGACACATCTTTGGTTTTCAAAAAACCTCAACCAAAATATAGGTCACTATGACCTACTTATGAAATTTTATGGATATATTCAAATATCTCAGGTTTTAATTGGCTTATAATCTACAATCTTTGTCAGTTGATGCATCTTGTGTCTTTGGAGAAATCAACCAAAAAGTAGGTCTCAGTGACCTACTATAGAAATGTTATTGTTATATTTAGAAATCTCAAGTAATTATTGGCTTGGAATCATCAAACTTCGTCAGTTGATGCATCTTGGTTCTCAAAATGAGTTAGATTAAAAGTAGGTCAACGTCATTTCGAGGCATTATTTAAATAATCAAATAATAAGAGTCTTAAAATAACCAAACCTTGTCATTTGGGACATCTTGGGGTCCCAGATAATGTTTACCAAGAAGTGGGTCTCTGTGACCTACTTTTGAAGTCTCGTGGCTTTATCTTAATTTTTCAGATAATAAGGGGCTTAGGATCAACACACTTTGTCAGTTGATGATCCGGTGTGTTTTAACCAAAACGTAGGTCATGGTGACCTACTTTTGGAATTTCAAGGCTTTATTCAAATATTCAGGATGCTTCGAGACTTCAGATAGATTGTACAATTTATTAGAAGAGCAACGAAACATATGGAGATAAAGAACAGTATTCAAGATCAAAAATGTTATTCTATGGATTATAGTCTAAAGCTGTTTAATTCCCTCATCTAGGCATGAAATCTTTCAATGATTCAACACCTGATTTCCGATTATTCATCCAAGAATTAAACGAAAAAGATGAACCATCAAGTTGTTCACCTTTATTTCTCTCTTTTTATCTGGACAAAGGGTCGATATTTAAGGAAAAATTACTTTATGATCTAATGTTTAGTTTGGCGGAAGTAAAACTTATCTGACTTATATTCGTACAAAACTCCGTGCTTTGCCGGTAAAATATACAGTATATTATCCAAGAATTGACTAAAAGACGTTTTTCAATCAAAAATATTTTTTTGTAAAATTGGGAAAACTTTAAGAAAATAGATTAAAACCTTTAAATGTAAAATATAATGACCAGTTAAAAAATAATCTATTTGTAGCTTTAAAGAACAAATTTGAGTAATATTTTGTGTGATCAACATTTATTTTCTTATTCGAGATTTTTTTACATAATGTAGAAAGAATTATTTTCCGTTTATTGGAATCAAAATTTGTTAAAACAAATTCAACATAGTAAATATTTAATGAGAATTTCCTTCCTGTTCCGGAGTTTATTTTTCGGACAGGTCAACACGACTCAACTTCTTGTATGAAAGATTGACCCAAGGGACACCATTTTCTACACAATTTCATTTTGATTTGAGTAAAAATCAATTTTAAGGTGAGTAAATATATTGGTGTATAAAACACACACGTACTTTCTATGTTATTAGAGAAATTGACGGAATAATATCAATTTAATATCTGAATATTTACGACGAAATATTATCTTCACCATTATCATAATGAATGGAATATTTATAAAAAAAAAAAAAAAAAAAAAAAAGAAAAAAAACCAAAAAACCCATAAAAAGCAGTTATTCGCAGTATCAAGGAAGAATTAATTCATTTGATAAGCGGATTTTTATTCTTCCTGTATAATATCTTATTGTTTCTAACATGGAGTCCAATAAAAATTTTGATCATGTTTAATTTGATAATTACAAACAGGCATAACGAACAAATATTCATTGGATATCATATTATAATTTTGAATTATAATGTACTGTTATATCCAAATTTTTTAAAAATTTTATTCTGTAAACGATTTGAACTGTGGGACTGCGGAATACTTGACCTAGCTAGAATCCCCCCCCCCAGTTTAGACTCATTGTTGTACATGTACTATTTGTTATTTTGTAAACTGATAGGCTGTATTGCTCAAAGTTATTTATAACGATCTAGTTTAAAAACTTACATTAAACCGTGTTTTTGTTGCAAATAATTTTCCTAAAGTATTACATAGTATATCACACGATCGTGCGTGTGTTTGTTATACCCCCGCTTGAAAAGTGGGAGGGTATACTGTAATCGGTATGCCCGTCCGTCCGTCCAGCTGTTATTCCTTCCGTCCGTCTGTTACGCTTTAGGGTACCCATCTCTTATCCGCAACTCCTCTCATAACACTGGGTGAAACTTAATGAAACTTTCACAGAATCTTTATTACATATTGCCTTTGTGCACCTCCTATTTTACTTTTTGATCCGACACATATTTTGGGTTTCCCGGCCACAGCAAAACATGCTTTGTCATCAGTTATAACCATATGGGAGGCGGGGGTATCATTTAGTGAGCTCATTGCTCACAGTACCTCTGGTTTACACGGTGTTCAAATCGTGTGTACAAGGTTTATTTAAAATGGGAGTAAGTCGAAATAATAAACGTCCAAATTTAAAACAAAGGAGGGAGAACAAAAACTACATCCGACCCCCCTCCCGGGGGGGGGGGGGTTCTTATCAACTGATTGCATGTGCAGTGTTTCTTTTTTTGTTATTATTAAAATGGATTTGAACGTCTGAAGATTAAAAACTTTATCACAAACTTTATTTATCTTACATACTTGTCAGGTCTGTTTTCATTTATTTTACATTGAAACATGTGACTGTATAAGTTGGATCTAAAACTTAATTTTATAGTAGTATTTGGTGGAGTTGTTACTTGACTTTTGAAAGCATAGATAGACAATATTTTAAACTTTGTGAAGTTCTGTTTGAACTTGTGTTATTCAAATGATATAACAACGGTTTCAAAGTTTAAACTAGAGGTACTGTGAGCGATGAGCTCACTAAATGATACCCCCGCCTCCATATAGTTAAAATGGCAAAGTCCATGTTTTGCTGTGGCCGGGAAACCCAAAATATGTGTCGGATCAAAAAGTAAAATAGGAGGTGCACAACGGCAATATGTAATAAAGATTCTGTGAAAGTTTCATCAAATTTCATTCAGTGGTATGAGAGGAGTTGCGGATAAGAGATGGGTACCACAAAGCGTAACAGACGGACGGACGGACAGCTGGACGGACGGAATTAACGATTACTATATACCCTACCGCTTTTCAAGCGGGGGGTATAATAACGAAATAAGAAGGGGGTTTTAATCTGACAAGTTAGTCAAAAATGTCCATATATTGAAATTTATAGGGGTTCGACTTTACGGCAGCAGAAAGTAAGAAAAGGAGGTGGGATATAGAAAGGAAAATTTACTACAGCAAAAATACAATACTCAGTAAAAGTAGGGGCAACATTGTAATAGTATCTTTTTTTTCAGAAACTAAAACGAACGCATATAGAGTACGATGCTATACTCCGATCGAGTCCGAGAGCTAGACAAATATGGAGGGTAATCGTGTTCAAAAATCCAGACTTGTAAAGTAAACGCAATCTTGTAAGATTGTAAATCCAAACTTGTAACTGTGTCAGTTTCATAGCATACATAATTATGTAAGTAGGTAACTCAGACATCCAAGCATGTAGTTCCGAAAATACAACTGTGTTGACTTAAAGTATGAATCAGAATGTGTGTATATTTGATGGTGTAAACTTTGTTTTCCGGAATTTATATTTCCGCGCTCTGAATAAAACAACAAAGACAATTCACAACTCTACAAATGTAAAGTCATTTATTTAAGTCTACATGTTTGTCGGATTTCGATTACGAGAAACTATGGATTTTTTCAAGGACCCCACATATTTCCGGATTATCCCTCTAAGTGTCTACATAACGAATTTATCCTGCCGATGGTTCTCTAAAAGACTAAATATTCATAATATCGATATACCGCTTTCACTGAGGGAAGCAAATCGTACTGCATCCATTGCTGTGGTCAGACGCATCGTGACGTCAGTTATGAAGCTCCCTTTCACCTGAAAGCAGTAGGCCTAAATTGAAGTGTGGTTGGTAAATTTTTAATATGGTGGGTAGGTCACGTGGAGGGAGCACATTAGTAATGTTATGTGGGTAGACAGCATAACATCGTTTAATACAGTATTGCTCTCAACCAATGAAATTTCTAGATTTTTATCAGAGGCAGGATAAATATAATTATATATTATCTTTCTTTTGGTTACCATATTTTAAGCGACTTATATACCTTATAGCGAGAAAATTTTTTTTTTCAAAATATTCTAAATTTTTTACAACAAAAATGTAATAATTCATGTATTTTTGCATATTTTTTCCCACCGGAAAAATTGATTATGGCATTATTTGTTTAAAGATTGAAATTTTTATAATTCTTTCAAACATCATGCTCCTACAGAAAATAGGCTACTCAATGTTACATCATTCTGATCACGGTTTACATGTATATGTATATATATATAATTGCCACAAACGGTGTTACCATTGGTTACTTAAATTAAGATTATATTAAATTATTACAAAACAACATACTCCTCATGATTACAATAAAATTTCAAGAATTTTACAAAGGTAGCTTTTGATTGTTTCTGTAGCATACATTCATCAATCTCTCTCGTCAATATCTCTCTTCCTATCTCTTTCTCTCTAGCTGTGATCTTCCAAACGTTCGTATACGTTTGGTCAATTTTAAAGCCCCATTAAATGCTTTTTCTGAATAAACACACAAACTACTCGTACGAGAAATTTTATGAATGAAAAAAAATTATGAATGAGTAACTGCGCAAATCAAATTCAGTTGCTGATTGGTCAGTCAAGTTACCTTGATTTGCACCTGCTGCATATTGCCCCGCCTACTGGCGTTGCTTGGACCTTTTCTTGGCGGAAGTCAACACAAGCAGACGGTATTAGATGGACTCGAATTCAGTTTGAGATGACAGAATGTCCATTTTACTTTATAACCTGGATCGTTTATTTTATGTGTTGTCGACCGGATAGAGAAATTAAAAAGAGATTTTTCTAATTCAAAAATTTCTAAATGAAGAGTCGGGATGCGCTCTTCTCCGCTAAGGGGTACTGGTGACTGTCGTCTGCTTTGGGATGGAATTGTTAAAAGTGTGTTGGCGCTGTGTCTCATGTGCACAAGTTATGCAGGCGTCGGTGCATTAAAGTGTACTCCATGTAACCCCAGCATGTGCCCTGACCCCCCAAAAAATTGTCCCCGGGGAACGATTCTAGATGTATGCGGGTGTTGTCAAGTGTGTGGCAAGAACGTCAACGAGACATGTGGAGGACCGTTTGAAATTGTAGGCAAGTGTGGGGACGGGCTAGAGTGTGCCCTGACTTCTGAAGTCGGGGGCTCGATAACAGGCAGCGAAAAAGGGATCTGTCGAGGTAAGACAAACAACATTTGTATTATTTTTTAGTAATTAAGAAATGTGTCCTTTGCTGTTGGATCTTTAAAACTTGTGATAAACTACGTGCATATATTAGAAAAAAAGGGTAAACGGCCAAGGTATATAGTGTACTAAAAATAAAACTCCTTATCATAGAGATACTTTCATTGGGTTCCTTTCATTTTCCCCAGCTCAATGGGGGGACTTAACTTCATTCAATTCATGTAAATACGGCGTAAGACAAACACTTGTCGAAACTTTTCCGAAGATATCGAGCCACAAATTTATTCCAGGGTAAAAGATGCATGGATTGGAATGCTTATGCATTATCTTTAACCTGACTACTGGTTCGTTTCAGAAACAATGTCTGCTATCGGTACACATTATTCATCAGTAAAACATGCACACATGCAATATGATTACATCAAGCACTGAAAGATCATTACAGGAAGTGATGTACATGTATTGTCAAAACAATTTGGTATGATGATATAAAACAAATGCCCATTAAATTGTGAAACTTAAAAGAGCAGGACAGTGCATATTTTCTTCTTTCCTGATTGTCAATAAACTTTTTTCTCCATTAATAATCAAATATTCCATTATTATCTTAAATCAAAAGTTTTAATACTAGCCCCCCCCCCTCCTTCCCCCCATAAAATACAACGAAACATTTGTCAGCAATTCAGGACAACATAAAACAGTCAGTAGAACTGCAAAAATGAATTCCATGTCAAACAAAAGTTTGTTCTGCAAAGCCCTTTTAAATGTAAAATATGTATATTATAACTCAAATATGTAAGTTTTGTACAGTTTATGTAGTTTACTTGATCCACTTGATGGTATTTCTGACCTGCATGATATAATGATAGATGTATTCTTAGACCATCATTCAAGATATTTTTGTTTGATTTACTCCGACCCGACAACATAAAACATTCATCAGTGATAACTATCATAAAAATCAGAGAAATTTATATATTGATCACACACTGAACTGCAAAAATGAATTCCATGTCAAACAAAAGTTTGTTCTGCAAAGCCCTTTTAAATGTAAAATATGTATATTATAAATCTCAAATATGTAAGTTTTGTATATATGTATCAGTTTATGTAGTTTACTTGATCCACTTGATGGTATTTCTGACCTGCATGATATAATGATAGATGTATTCTTAGACCATCATTCAAGATATTTTTGTTTGATTTACTCCGACCCGCATTTTTTAGGGTGGGTAGGTAGGTACTTTTTTTTTATTAAAAGTATTGATCAAATTGATAACTATCATAAAAATCAGAGAAATTTATATATTGATCTTTTCAAAACACACTGGATAACTAGACAGATTTAATATTTATTACTATGAAAAATTTCAATCTAAAAGCAGAAATAATTTCCTACAGAAATTTTATACCTTAGCTTTAAAATGATATAATCTCTATTTTGAAACTAAATTTAAAAAAAAAAGAAGAAATTTAAAAATTCAAAGTGCTGAAAAAAAAATGATTGGGTATGGGCTATTTTGATTGGTCAGTTGGAGTACATCAAACATGTCATTTTTATTGTTGACCCTATCATTTAGAATTTCAAGCTGTTTCTTTCAGTAAGAACTATTGGCAGTATTACTTAAAATAAATTACTTCATCCATAACATAATTTCTATAAAATGTGATTACTTAATGCATATGTGATAACAGCTTTATTCCAAAGTAATCAAAGTGCCAAATAACAGTAGAAAGCTCTCAGGTGCCCAGCATCCATGAGATTTTCACAGCTGAATTGAAGAAACAGACAAAAAAAAACCCAGACATACGCATCTCTTGAAATCTATTTTTCCATCCCTAATACTAATGGTGACCTGAATGCCATTATTATTGTCAAACAAGTCAGAAAAAATATTTTAATGCCTCATTTGCCAGTTGTTGGTTAAAAGAAGCAAGGTGATTATTAAATTTTGTATTCATCAATCACTGAAAAAGAGGATTAAATAACTTGGATGTTTATTTTTATATATGAAAGATTATTTCAACGTCATGACAGCTGCTTAAGTTACATGTAATTGTAGGTTTTTAGGCTAATAAAAGGGATAGGTAATGTATTTTGAAAGAGCCTTGTACCAATAAATTTTTGCTGATATTCAGATTAACAGGTTCATTGGGATGTGGACATAGACAGATTCACCAGTGCCAGTAACAACCCCCACCCTAGCCCCCACCCCCACCCCCATTTGATTTTTTTCTTTTAAAGTTTGTTTGTATAACAATTAAGTTTTTACCTTCAATTTAGTCCTCTTATTTGTAAGAATTTGTCACCTTCTGTCATACCCGTCCCCTCTCTTTAGATCTGGACAATTTTGTATATAAGCTTTTCAATTCTGAACTGATTTTTAGGTCACCTGAGTAAACTCAGGTGACCTATTGCTATCTCTTTTTGTCCGTCGTCGTACATTGTACATCGGTTGTAAACTTTTGAACATTTTTAGCTTCTTCTCTGGAACCACTCAACCATTTTCAACTAAATTTGGTAAACAGCATCTATGGGTAAAGGGGAACAAAAATTATAAATTTCATGGCCCCTGTCCCCCTGGGGCCTGAGGGGTGGGGCCAAAACCACTAAAATTAATGCAATCTTTAAAAATCTTTTTCTTTACTCCTGGACATTAAGCAGTCAAACTGTTTGCATGATTGTTATCAGCATTGAGTCCTTTACAAAATTGTGAAATTCATGGTCCAGGGGTCAGGGGTTCTAGTGCTAGGGTGGGGCTATATAGATTATATAGTGAAAATGCATGATTTCTTTGAAAATCTTCTTCTCTGCTCCTGGGTATTAAGTAAACTAACTAGTACGTAGCTATGATGAGCAAGAGTGCCTCTTCCAAAATTGTGAATTTTATGGCCCCAGGGTCAGGGGTTCTGGTGTTAGGGTGGGGCTCTATTGATTATACAGTGAAAATGCATTAATTCTTTGAAAATCTTCTTCTCTGCTCCTGGGTATTAAATTAACTAACCAAGCACATAGTTATGATGAGGAAGAGTGCTTCTTCCAAAATTTTGAATTTTATGACCCCAGGGTCAGGGGTTCTGGTGTTAGGGTGGGGCTCTATTGGTTATATAGTGAAAATGCATTTATTCTTTGAAAATCTTCTCCTCTGCTTCTGGGTATTGAATAAACAAACTAAGTACATAGTTATGATGAGCAAGAAGCCTCTTCCAAAATTGTGAATTTTGTGGTCCCAGGTTCAGGGGTTCTGGTGTTAGGGTGGGGCCCTATTGGTCATATAGTGAAAATGCATTTATTCTTTGAAAATCTTCTTCTCTGCTTCTGGGTATTAAATAAACTATGTTAGTACATAGTAACTGTTAAGTAGAGCAAGAGTGCCTCTTCCAAAATTGTGAATTTTATGGCCCCAGGGTCAGGGGTTCTGGTGTTAGGGTGGGGCTCTATTGATCATATAGTGAAAATGCATTAATTCTTTGAAAATCTTCTTCTCTGCTACTGGGTATTAAATAAACTAAGTATATAGTTATGATAAGGAAAAGTGCTTTTTCCAAAATTGTGAATTTTGTGGCCCCAGGGTCATAGGTTCTGGTGTTAGGGTGGGTCTCTATTGATTATATAGTGAAAATACATTAATTGTTTGAAAATCTTTCCTTTGCTCCTGGGTTTTATGCCAATGATCCAAGTATATATATTTATGATGAAGAAAGGTGCATCTAGCAAAATGGTTATTTTTTATGCCCCCCTCCCTGGACGGGGGGTTGGGGGGTACATAGTCTGAAAATAGACAATGCTTTGAAATCTGCTTTGTGGTATAAATCAACCATTTTATGATAAAATTTGCAAAATTTTGAAATATGTGGCCCAAGGGTCAGTGGTTCCTTTGGGATGAGGTGCACAACTGGATATTAAGTGGAAGTGCATTTTCTCATTGTTACTCTGATCTACCTCTGGGTATTAAGTAAATAGAGTAAGCATGCTTTAGTCTGTTATTATGATAAGCAATGGTGCCTCTTTCAAAATTGTGAATTGCAAATTTCATGGCCTCTGGTTTAAAACACGAACCAAATTTAATTGTTTGAAAGTTGTTGCACAATGCTCAGGTGACCTATAAGGCCCATGGGCCTCTTGTTACTTTTTACCATAGCCACAGTATGCAGGTGGGCGACTTGGCCCCTGGGCCTCTTGTTGTTTTTTGTTTATTATCTTGATATGTACACAATTATGTACAGCTTAAAAGTTTTATTTGTTCCCCCCCCTTTTTTAATTGCTTATTACTTATTATAATGTTCACTCACTTCACTCCTCCTGAGGCCAAAAAGCTTTGTTACTTATAGAATAGATTCAAATTTGTTCAAATAATGGACCAGTTGGTTACCAATGGGCCACTGTGGGCAATCAATGATTTACATAGGAATACATGTGTATAAAGTTTTTTTTTTTTTTTTTTTTTTTAAATTTTTTAATGGATGCATTATTATGTAATTTGATATTTCAAAATGAACCTGAAAGGTACAGTATGGTCAAACTGGGCATATTTAGATTGGAAAACATGGGAAAAGTCTTTGAAAATCTACTTCTTTAGATTAAAGCAAACCAGTAGGTACAGTAAAAATTGGATGAAAACATCCTCAGGTAGTATACTTTGAAGTCATTTAAAATCATAGGACCCTTGGGAATAGAGTGAGGACACAGTCAACAATCAAAGTTTTACATTTTAAATTTACAGGAAAGACTTCTTTTTGAAAACATCTTTTTGTAAAGTAAACCAAACCTTTATATAATATATAATATATATAATATAATATATATAAGTTTGTTCAAATCATATTTTGAGGTAAGGTTGGACCATGCAGTTGGTATGTGATTTAACTTTTACATAATATGCAAGGAAAATAAATTGCTGATATTAAAAGAACAGAATGGTCAAAAGTTATTTAAGTGAGCATTGTAGCCTTGGACCTCTTGTTATTATATTAATTACTGTAAATGTATTATAT